AGTTTATTATTGTAAAATTAAATAAGATTGTAATTTAATGAGACTTGAGAAATGTTAAAGACAATAATAAATTCAAAATATGAAATTAATTATTTGCAAATCATATCTCCAAAAATTATTATTAATAAAATATAATATTAAATTAACTACAACAAATGGACCCTCCTCCTATCTCAATTTTAAAAAATTAATCACAATTAGGAGTTGATAATTTAGTATAATAACCATCAAATTAAGAAAACACAAAAGTACCAAAGTATTCTAAATAATTATATAAGGCGAAACTTCAATTTAAAAGTTGGTGACATAGTTTATTTTAAGTCTTATCTGACAGATGAGTTTAAAGGAGTTATTTCTGGTGATGGAATAGCAAGCAATAAGTTGGAGTGTATCTAAATTTTAGGAAAAAATCAATAAATTGTAGATCAATCAAAAAAAAGTTTACAGTAAAAGGTTGGCAGTTTGTCATTTTAGAAAAGCTTGTTTTAAGTTATTACAGGAAAGAAATATCATTATTAAAATTAATTAATTTAAGAAGGTTCTAGATCTATAGATGATATTAGAGAAGAAGCAATAAATGAAGCCATGGATTTAGATTAATGTTAATTTAATTATGAAAAAAATATAAAAGAACTTGAAGATAAAGCAAATGAAGAAATTATTGAAAATAAACGCTTTTATGATCTTGCTTATGGATCCAATATAGTTTATGGTTAAGAAATTTAACTTAAACACATCTATTCATCATGCACTCTCTCTTTTAATAGTTTAACTTTAGCTAAAGAAAATTGTTGTAGAGAGTTATCTTTAGAAGAAATTCCAAATATAAATTCAAATTTTAGAATTTTATCTATGAATAAAGTTAAAAATCCAGGAGAACCCATTTTATATGGAGATTAAATCATTATTTAAAATTCAACTTAAAATAAATGGTTTCTTGGTATTTAAAAGCCAACCTAAAAATATGAGAAAAAAGATGGTTTAGAAGTTAATTGTGCATAAATAGGATTTCCAATAAAAATTGCTAGTTATATTGATTATAAAACAGAATAGGATTTGAAATAATTATCTATAAAATAAAAATCTATTCTTAGTGGAGACGTAATCACAATTAAAAATAGATATTTAGGGGGTTATCTTTCTATTAAAAGAAAACTTAGAATTACTGAAGGGCTTGAAAAAAAAGAAGTTTTTATAAGAAATTATGAAACTAATATCACATATACAAAACAATAATTTTATTTTAATGTAGATAAAGTTAGAAATGAAAAAATTGAATATATGTATTAATTATATGTTGATTAATCATAAGATGCAGAAGAAAATTTAAATAATTTATGGTAAGTTTAACATATGGATAGTTTAACCTTTTAAAAACCAAATTATGAAAGTGTTTTTTTAATAAGACACGTATGCACAGGATTATTTTTGGAGATTTCACATCATTCAGTTGGTTTAACATATGATGGATTAAGATAAGAATGTTAATTTCATTTGAGAGCTAAAAAAACTTCAGAAGATCAAATTTTATTTAGTGAAGCATATAAATTATAATCAGTTTTGAATGTTTAGATAGATGGTTTTGTAACATTAGAAAATTTAGTTGTAGTTTGTTTAGATGATAAAGTAGCAGTTTAAAGGAAAAGTTAAAAATAAAATATAGAAAGAGCAACATTTTTATTTAAATTAGCTACACCAGAATAAACTAAAACATCATTTAGAATTAATTCATTATAAGAATATTTAATATAATTTTATATTTTTTTATAAGATTGGGGAATAATAAAAACATCAACTTAAGGTTTAGAAGATATTAGAACTTATGATTATTTTGAAGCATTTAATAATTAAAAAATGTTATATGATGAAATTTTATAGTTATTTTAAACTTTGGAAAACTTAAAAATGTATTTAACTAATGATGGTTAAGTATAGACTACTGAATAAATATAATTTAAACAAAAATCTTTAATGGATAATGATATTATTAACTTACTTTTTGCTATTCAAAGATTATGCAATTTTACTATATATGGTAGTTTGAATAATAATAATTCTTAAGTTATTGAGAAAACACCTTAAAGAATTGCTAAAATGAAACTTGATCCTCCAATTTCATCATCTTAAAAATTGAATTGTATCTAAGAAATATATGATATTCTAAGTTTATGTGTTTAAAAAAATTCAGATACTAGCAATTATGTTTTGACATTAATCATGAATAAAGAGAGTATTTTAGATTTCTTATTATAATAATTGAAATATTAACGAAAACATATCTCAAATCTCATTAAAGAAAGTGTCAGATATACAGATATGAGTGAATCTAAAGAGAATATAAAAAAATGGGTAAATTAATTAGAAGATCTATCTTAAGATAATATTGAAGATTAAACTCTTTACATAGAAATTTTAAGTTTAATTATGATAGATCCATATGAAAATCCAAATTTATTATGTCAGAATACATGTAGAAGATTACTATTTGGAACAAAATCTTAATAAAAATAATCAAATCCTTTTCATATAGCATTAGTAGCTTTGGATATATAAGAAGAAAATACTAATTCTTATCCAATAGTTTAATTTTATCCAAAAAGATAAAAAGAATTATAAATGCAATATGCCAATTAATTTGGATAGAATAATTAAATATTTTGTTAACTTTACTTAAAATTTATTGATAAATAGGCTAGAATTGCTTAGAGATTTTAAAATAAGAGACAAAGTTTAATTGATGTAGTAATTGATTTTTTTACTATTGAAACACTTAAAGAAAATTAATTAGTAAAATAAGAAGATGTTAAATTAGTGATTCCAATATTTTAGAAATATGAAAACTATTTAATGAATGTTATGGGTTTATATTCTTCATTATGTAAAGGTAGAAATTCAAAGAATAGAAAATGTTTAATGAAATATTGTTTTTTAAATTAAAAATTCTTAGAAATTTGTTTAAAACGTTAATAAAATGTTAGATCAGAATTGAGATTTGAAAAAACATTAATAGAGCTATTTTGTAATTTATATTTAGATATTGATCCATTAATCAAGATCTCTTAGAATTATGATCCATTTTATAATAATAAATAAAGAAATACAATCAAATGTTATTTAAGTGATGATATTGACTAATTCAATAAATAGGATCCTTCTGGATATTATTTTTATGAAAACAATGCATCAAAATCCTTAAAACGGAGTGATGATTATTAAAGTTTTCTTCATCAAAAAGAAGCTAAAGCAGAACATTAATAACTAAAACTTTATGCTGCTAAAATGTTATAAAGATCTAATGTAAATGATTTTCGTTTGTATTATTTAAAACTTTTTACAAGTGAAGATTATCCAGAACATCTTCTTTAAGAAGCAAGTTATGATATATTTTAATCAAAAAAGGCTACTTTAAATAAATAAAAATATGATTACTCTCGTCTTGCTTATTTATAATTACATTATTTTTTAGGATTACTCACAATTGTGAAGAATAGTATAAATTTAGGTTATAATTAATTGGATGAAAATTAAAAAATATTTTCTATATTGCCAAATATATTTGTTGCTTTAATTATATAGTAAATTCCTGATTTGAGAATACATAGATTTTAAGAAAATGAATCATTTCTATAAAATTTAAATAATTTAAAATAATCTGTGGATGATAATATTTGGGTTATGACGTTTCTTCCTACAGCTGAATAATTATATGAGAAAAAAAAATAAAAATATAAAAGTTTTCATGAAGATTTAAAAAGAATGGATCAATCATAAAGATTATATATGTAATTTTAAAGAAATTGGATTTTATATTTATTAATATGGACATAATAATATTGTGATGATGAAATATTAAAAACATAAGTATATTTAGAAACATTATAAATATTAAAAATATTTGAAGAATTGAAATTAAATTTATAAATATTGGAATTTTTATTTAGTTCATCTTAGTAGAATGAATCAAATCCTAGTTCTCCAAGTTTTAGAGATTTAGAATAATTTGGATTTGATGAAGTTGTAAATTAAGAAGTATAAATATAAAAATCAAAAACTGTTACATAAAAATGTATTTAAAGTGTATTCAAAGAGCCTGATGGAAATAGTATTTGTGGATTATTATTTAGTTGTCTATTAATATCAGGAAAGAGAACAAAGTTAAATGAAGAATTATTATAAAGGATTATATAAAGTTTTCATTCACCAAAATATTCAATATAAGAAATTAATTAAGTAGAAATAATAGATAATTTACAAGAATTAAGATATTTTTCAATTATAAATGGAAATTCTAATAGTGTATAATTGATAAGTCCAAAGGAAGCAATATATTTATCAAAAAGAGCATTAAAATTCATTATAAATTATAATGACAATAATATAATTTAGAAGAGAATGAATTCATTTGATTAATTAAAAGGATATTCAGCTAAGATAATTGAATAATTTGAAATGTTTTTTAAACCTAATACCTAAGATTAATAATATTTAAAATCATTTTAAAATATTTTGAGAAATGCAGGTGTACATTTAGTATTCTTAAGATTTTTAGTAGATCCTAATATAATTAAGAGTTCAAATGAAATAGTATATTTTTATAAAAGAATAGTTCTTTTTTTTGAATATTTTATAATTGATAATGAGATTAATATATCAATTTTATCTGATAATGAGTATTTATTAAAAATTTTGGATATAATTTAAATACCTTAACCATAAGCAGAGGATAAATTTTATATACCTATAAAGATTACAAAATTAGTTATTAAATTGCTTTCTTCTATTCCAGAAAACCAAAATAATAATTTGATAAATCAGATATTTGAAAGAATAGAAAAGATTGGAGATCAATTGATGAAAAGTTAAGAATTTTATTTAAAATAATATATTGTTGGAGAAGAAGAGGCATAAATTAAATTGATAGAAAGAAATACAGATATAAATGCTGTTGCTTATTGTTCTTTAATTTAGTATTTTAAGATATTAAAATGTTTGACAAAAACATTTGAAAAACCTGCAAAGTAAGCTCCATTAAATAAACATTTAATATTATAAAAGATTTTAAGGAATAAATTCTTAAGAATAGTATTAGATCCAGTAAATTATTATAAGAGTATATTGGTACCAGAATTTGCATCATAAGAATAAGAATAAAAAGATCCTTTACTTTATCATAGAATAAAATTACATTCTGAATTAATAATATTATTAACTGAATGTTGTTAATATTATAGATTAGGAATTTAAGAAATGTAAAGAATATTATTATATGAATAATTGAAAACTATATTGTTAGATGCAAATACTGAATATATTGTAAAGAAAGCATATTTATAATGCATATTTGAATTATACATAAATTAGGTTAAAGAAGGATAATTTGTAAATGATTTAGTAGAAAGTGATGAAGTTAGAGATATATTATCTAGAATAATAATACCAGAATTAGATTAAAAATAGATTTGTAAATATTTAGAAGGTTTATCAAAATTAATGAATTAAGATAGAAATATGATGGTTATCTAAAAAGATTTGAGAGAATCAATTAAAAGATAAAAACAAACATATTTTGAAAAGAAACTTTCATTTGATTCTTAATCATCAAAAAAATTAGGAATATTAAGAGATATAAGTGAATATTGGAAATATTTGAGAAAAAATGGAATAATTCATTTTTTAGTTTATACTTATGATGAAATGAAAGATAGAACAGATTTAGAAAATCCAGAAATTTCTAATTTATCTGATGAATTTGCAATTATTAAATAAAATGTTTAAAAAATTAAAGAAATATTTAATATTTTAGAGAGAGATTTTAGAGTGAAAAAAGAAGATTTAGATTTGGATAATTATAGAGAATTAATAACATCTATTGAAGAGATTATTCCATAAAGGAAAATAACTAAATTTGGTTAAAATTTTAGAATAGGATTTCTTGGAGATAAGAAACTTAATAAATTAGTTTTTGATTAATTTGATACTCTTAAAGATGATTAAACAGGAGATAAGAAATTATAAGAATAAGAAAATGTTTAAAGAATAGAAAATCAATTTAGAAGGAATTTTAAAGTTTATCTCATAAGATATAAAGTTAATATCCATGAATTTAACTAATATATTGAATAGAAAGCATTAGAATAAGATAGATCTTAGAAGATTCTTGAAATATGTAATAATTATAAAATTTATATTGAATAAAAAGACATTAATGAAATTTATAGAGTAAATGTAGAATAATTAAAGAGATAAGAATAAGTTAATAATAGAAATAAAAATATAACAGATTGGGATTTATTTAAATAAGCAATGAGTGATTTATTTGAAATTAAAACTACCTAAACATTTGCAATAAATTAGTAAGTATAAGCATACTAGAGATAATAAGAAGGTTTAGAAAATCTTAAATAAGAATTTTAAATAGCTTGTTGTAAATAAATTGGAAAATAATATTAGAAACATGGAGGATAATTAGAAGGTTGTGAAGATTTAATATCAGATGATATTTAAATAGAATTATTAATAAGAACATTAGAAAAGTAAAATACAAATTTATTAGCTGAAAATAAAGTATAAGACTTTTTAGAAAAGATTTAAGGTATATTTTTAAATAGAGAAATCTATCTAATTAAATTATGTAAAATATTTTTGTTATTGAAAAGACCAACTTAAGATGAAATAGATTCTCTTACTGAAAATAAGGATGAAAAATCTAAAGATTTAATTAGAATAAAATAGTAAACTTTCATAAAATATTAAAATGCTATGGTTGATAGTGATTTAGATATTTTAGCTTTAGGAATGTTAAATGAATCTGTAGATGAATAGAATTAAATTGAAGCATTACAATTCTTAATTTATTTGTTAGATTATGGAAATGGCTATGTTTAGAAAAAGTTATATAATATACTTAAAACAGATTAAGTTATTAAATCCAAATTCTTTGTTTTTTTAAGAGGTTTCTTTTTAATTGATATTAATTCTGAAATTTTAGAATTAGAAAGATGTGAAGGAAATAATACTGAATATAAAGTATTATGTTTGAAAGTATTAAAATTATTATAGGCTTTATGTGAAAATGTCAATGTTGATTTCTAGAAATTCATTGTACATTAATATGATGATGATTCATACTAAGCTAATATTAATATTGTTAATGAAGTTTCTAATTTATTATCAGATTTATTGGAAAAAGGATAAAATGTATTTTATAAGTTATAAGAAATCTACAGACAAGCTTTAGAAAGTCTAGTTGAATTCTCAACAGGATTTGAAGATAATAAAAAAGAATTATGTAAAAATACACGATTATTTACATTATTAAATTAGATTCTATAGAAAGAAGATTTTTTATAATTCAAATAATTGAATAAAGAAAATAAAAATATAATTAATGAAAAATTAATGTAATAATAGAATTAGGAAGAAGATTCTATTATAAATTTAAATTAAGATTAAATAGATCTTTAAAATAGAAAATATAATTCATATTAAACTCTTTAATCATTTATTAAATTATTATTATTAATTACATAAGGTAAATTAGATAAACCATGTTTAAAATTTGTATTAGATACTGTTAATCTTACTATTCTTATGAGAATATCAAGATCAATTTATTAAGATCGTATTAAACCAAAATAAAGAAATATTATATTAGATAATATTTGTGATGAATCTAAAACTGGAAAACATTAATATTGTACTAATAATCTATGCTATTTTGGATTAAGAACTGATGAAGATAATTTATTAATCTAAACAGGTTTTAATATTTTTATTATTTGTTTAAAATTATCAGAACATTTTCCAAAAAATTCTTAATTAGAAATCTTCTTATTTGATGAACAATAAGATGATCAAGATGATTTTATTGATTTAAATGATCCATAATAAGATGAAGTATAAAAAGATAATATTAATCCTTTATAAAAAGTAGTACCAATCTTTATAAAAAATTAGGATTTAAATTAAGAAAATGCTTTATAAAGTAATGAATCAAAAAATAATTAATAAAACGATTTAAAGAAAATATTTGAAGATATTTAAAATGATGAAAATTATAAGTTTACTCGAAAACAACCTTTTTTTAAATTTTATAGATAATTTACAGGAAGGATAGAAATATAAAATGAATAAGCAGAACTTGAAAAGGTTTTCTTTTAAAAACCTTTTGTTTGTAATTTTGTTACTCCTAATATTAAATAAAATTTAATATTTGAAATAAATAGAGAAACAGATGAAGATAGAATGTAAGGATTAATAGATTAAGCTGATTTTTATGAAGTTTAAATGAGACATTCATAATAAATTAATAATAGTTTTATTATGCATTTTGGAGCAGTATATTGGAGATTATTAAAAGATTTATCATTTCTTTTATGTTTAGTTATTGTAATTCTTTTGATTTTTATGCATGATATAGTAGTAAATACTAAATTAGGTTCAAATTAAATAGCTCCTGAATCTGAAACAAAAATACCAGGAGAGAATTTTGTTAAATATCTCAATAATGTAATTTTTACAAATTTATTTAGATAATAACAATAATTTAATTAGTATTGAATTTAATAATTGTGTTTTTCTGTGCAATAGAAAGATATCCTATTTCAATTACTTATAATAGAGGTGAAACAAATGCCAAAAGAGTTCAGATATTAAAAAAAGAAGCTGGATTCTCAATATCTTGGCTTACTATGAAATATTACAGTATAATTGGATATTTTGAATCTGAATTCTAAGGATAGAAAGTTAATGAAAGCATAATTAAAAAGCTTATTCTCGTTATATTTTTGGATTATGACAATTTATACAATGTAAAGATATTTTTTTAATAAATAGATTTGCATTTTTGGATTAACAGCATATGCTTTTTTTAATCCATATATATATGCAATACTATTGTTAGATATTATAAAAAGATCAGAAGATCTATAGAATATCATTAAATCAATAACATCTAATGGTAGAAACTTAGCAATATTCTCTTTTCTTGGTTTTATAGGATTATTAATTTATGCTATAATTGCATTTTCAAATTTCGATTGGATGTTTAATGATGAAGATGGTGTTTATGGATAAACATTTATATTAGCTGTTACATCTACAATTAATTTTGGTCTTCGTAGTGGTAGTGGTTTAGGAGATTCAATGAAAGAATATCCTGAACCATATGAGGATCCAACATTATATTGGGGAAGATACTTCTTTGACTTCTCGTTTTTTATCATATTTAATATTTTATTCATCCAAATCATTTTTGGTATTATTTTAGATACTTTTGGTGAATTAAGAGATGAAAGATAAGCCTTAGTTAAAGAAATTGAAGGAAAATGCTTTGTTTGTAGTCTTGATAAAAATGATATTGATACAAAGTAATATTTATATCTTATATTATAGAGGAACAACAGGATGGCATTAACATATATATTTAGAACATAGCGTTTATCATATGCTATATTATATAATCTATATTAAAAATAAAGATCCAAATGATTGTAATGCTTTGGAGAAGTTTGTCAAAAAATCGATAGAAATTAAAGAAACCTCTTTTTTCCCATTTGAAAGAGCTTTATAAATTGAAAATTAAAATGATGAAGAGGATGAAACATTTGAACAAGCCGAATTATGATATTATAAACATATTTAATATATATTTCCATCCTAACAATTAATTATTAATTAACTTAAATTAGAATTTGATCAATTAATTTATTTTTAAAAACTAATTTTATGTAAATATTTTTTAAAAATATAATATGATTGCTCAGTAATCTTATTTTATGTTTAATAAAATTGATCTTTTAAAATAAATTTATTTATTTGATTGATACTTAGAAAAATTTGTCAAAACAATAAATTTAAATTTAAAAGAATATAGTTCTAATTTAGTTATAAATTTTGTATAAATTAAATTTGAAGATATCTAATCTAATATAAGGAGTAATTTAAAACTATAAGTAAATAATAATAAGATTAAAATTTGATTTATTTAATTTAATTATCAAATATGAATTCACCTAGCACTCCAAATAAAATAATCAATAATTAATATGTCTTAAACAAAAGATTATCAGCAGGATCATATGGAATTGTTTTTGAAGCTGAAGATTTATAAAAAAAATATCTGGTTGCTGTTAAAATAGAGAAAAAAGAGAAAAATTCAACACTTGATCGTGAAATACATATTCTTACAAGATTGTTAGGTACATAAGGAGTTCCAAAATTAATATGGAGTGGAATAGATAATAATTCAAATGTGCTTGTTTAATAACTATTAACAAAGGATATTGGAGCATATTTAAAAGAATATCGAAAATTTTCATTAAAAACTGTTTTAATCATAACAGATTACTTATTATAAATAATAAGAAGAATTCATAACAAATCAGTTGTTCATAGAGATTTAAAACCAGAAAATATAATGTATCATTAGAAACAAATATATATTGTTGATTTTGGGATAAGCAAACTTTATCGTGATAATAACTTAAAACATGTGTAAAAAATTGTATATTGAATGAAATAGTCCATTTAAAGAGGGTAGATCATTTGTTGGAACCACTAGATATGCTTCAATAGCAGCTCATAAAGGATAAGAATTAGGGAGAAAAGATGATCTTGAATCATTAATATATATAGATATTCTTATGTTAAAAGGGTAATATATCTTATTTATTTAGAATAAAGAACTTTACCATGGTAGAACATGCTTAGTTAAAATAATAAAGAAAGATAAAAATAAGTTGGTGAAAAGAAAATTAAAATGACTACTACAGAAATTTGTGTAGATTTACCTATTGAATTTACAAAAGCTTTAGAGTAATCATTTATTTTATTCTAAAGTTATATAAGATCTTTGTAATATTAAAGTGATCCAGATTATGATTATTTAATTTAACTATTTAGAAAATTAGCTTAATCTCGAAAAATTGAATATGATGATGTATATGATTGGACTTAACCATCCAATTAATCTACACCTAATAATTTACTATAAGACACTATTATTAAATAAATTGCTTCTTTACAATAATTCGAAAGATCTCCTAAAGTTATGTAAAACAAATGGTAATTATTATATTATACAATTATAGCTAATCACTCAAAGTTCCTTCAACATAAGATGTATTATAGGATAGAAAAAAATCTCTTTAAAATTCTTCATAATTAATGTTATAATAAAATGAATTAAATAAATCCATTTAAAACACTTATGTCATTAGCTAAATTGCAAATGATTATGATTCAAAACAAGATTATTTTTCTTAAGATGATGTTGATGATACACTATTCTACAGATACAATTAATTAAAATCTTAAGTCTTATAAATGTATTTCTTATTCTATACTTAGACATCATTTGTAAAATATTAAAAACCAAAATCAAACTAATAAAATATAAATCAGTTGAAATTATATATATTTTAAATACTAATTATATTTATAAAGAGTTTCAATAACAAATATTTTCTTTTTTTATCATTATTGAACCTCAATTAAATTTATATAATTATTAAATTTGAATTTTATAATATCCAGTAATATATTATTACCTGCTTCCAGTTATTTTTTAATAATTTGGTAAAGTTTATAAGATTTTATTATACCTTTTTATTCAAGCAACTTTTAATTATTTTCAGATTCAAAACAAGAAATTGAGATTTTTTATGAAAAAAAGCTTATGAATTAATTAAATACAATACTTAAGATAAAAATAAAATTGATTTGAATTCAAATAATTTAAAACAAAAATCAAAAATAACAGAATTTCAATTTACTAAAACTAATCTTAAAAATCTATATATTATATGAACTTTGTTATGAATATTTGTATTATTTCAATTAAAGTTTCAATAAAATGCCTTTAAAATTTTTTAATAGAATTATAATAAGTATTATGTATCTCGAGCTTAGTACTTAGATGAAGATAAATGTTAATTTAAACTAGATATTTACCTAAGAATAATGGGATCATTATTTTAAGGAAAGAAAGGTAATATTTATTCTTCTAAATTATGATTTGTAAAAATTTTATAACAAATTTGATTATACTTCAAAATTGCAAAAACTTTCTTAACATTAACCTATTTTATTATCTTCTTATTATAAAATAGATTTTCTGCAATTTTAATCATCTATAATATTGCATTAATTTTATTAAATCTATTAATTGTGATAATTTTCTGCTTATTTATTGTACCATTAATCTTTATCTATTGCGAAAGTACAATTATTTGTCACTTTTTCTACTAATTCAGGATTTATCAATTCATTAACTTGACTATTCAAATTATGTATATCATTTTTTTAATCATCATTATATTAATTTCAACTGGTAAATGATAAATCTTTATTTTATTTTTTTCTTAAAATACTCTTATTTTCAGTATAATCTATTGAATTAAATGTATACGCATTGTCTATGTAATCCTTTTTTTAAAATCTTTCTTACTCCACTTATTCTAATACTGTCTGAATTTTTTCATATTAATTAGAATCAGATTCTTCAGGTTTTTCTTAGTTATCAATTTTTTAAAAACATTCGATATTACAATTTCTTAGTCATAATTTAATATCCTCTCCTAGAGGGAGATAAAGTCTAATTATAAAAAAATAACTGCAAAAGGAATCTCAATAATTAAATAAAAATTATAAATTCTCACTTTAAAATTTATCATATTCCATCTCATTTTTGTAGATCCAAAAATTAAAATGAAATATTTCAAAACATTTAAATA